ACAGAGAAGGGCAGTTAATGCCTGCACTGCTGCTCTGGAGATTTGTTTTCTGCTTTCTCCTTTCCTCTCAGCACCAATGTGCTGATAGAACAAACCAACCTGCAGTGACAGAGGTCTCAGAGGTGCTCTCAGCATTTTCCTGAGTGCAGCTTTGCTCCTGCCCAGCTGCTGATGCAGTTCTGTGCCTTCAGATCCACACTTAACAATCATACCTGAGCATTTTTCTTGAAAGAGGGGATTTAGCTGCCCCTTCATTTCAGCTATCAGAGGCTGTTGGATGTTCTATTTTCAGTTAATCTTCCCAACTCTCATCCAGTTAACACAAAGAGCTTTTTCCCCTCAGTAGGATCTGTTACCAACACATCCTTCCCAACTGACTCCTCTGGCTTTGAATTAAGAAAGTTGCGTGTCCAGTTCTCTCCAGGGAAAAAGGTTTTCTTATCTTAGCAAGTCAAAAGCAAGATTTGGGGTGGGGGCAGACTGCTGAAATAATGAAAGGGTTCTCAGGGTCCTGGGTTACATGGCAAAAAGTAAGGGCTCTTTCCCTGAAGGATTTTTCTCAGAAATATGAGGAGGCTTTGTCATATTTTAACCTTCTTTAGTGGGCTAGAGATGCAAGTAAAAAACCATGAACTCCTCAAAGAGCCCAAGCTGTCACTTGCTAACAACCTCCACTTATGGAAATACAGGCTTTTACTGGCAGAAAATAAATCTGTGTGGAATATTGCTAAAGTACACAAACATGTATGCCAGTTTAGAGATTGAGAGCCAAAGGCAAAGTGAGTTCAGCATTGCAGACAGAGAGAGGCCACGAGCAGAACCCCAGTACCCAGATAGGTGGGGTGGTGGGAGCTCCCAAGAGCCCATGGAAAAGCAGCTCTCACCCTCCAGAGGGATCTCTGATCAATTCTGGATCAGCGCTCACCCTCCAGAGGGATCTCTGATCAATTCTGGATCAGCTCTCGCCCTCCAGAGGGGTCTCTGACCCGTTTGGATCAGCTGCTGGTGACTTTCATTTGAAGTGGCACAAACCTGAAGCCATCACAATATGACTTGTGCTGTGATTTTGATAACAACATGAAATTAACTAAAAGCTCATCATTAACAAGTGCATGAAATGGCTGTTAAATCAGAGGCAATAACCTTTTTAAGGGTATAACATGATCTAACATCCATGATTTTGCACTTTCTTTTGTTAAGTGGTTCTTCCTGCAATTACTGTCAGCACTCCTGGAAGTCAAAGATGAAAATGCTTCCACACAAGCAGGACTCTCAGTATTAAAAAGAAATTGTATTTAATGGATGTCTAAAAGGCAGAAACATGAATGAAATAGAAGAAAATGGAGCTCAAAACCAAACCTAATTTGTAGGCTGGCCACATTAGTTAGTGGATGTTTATTGGCCTCATTTGAAAGCTCCTCCTATGTCTCCCCACAGAAGTGAGATGTGGAGAGGGAGTGCAAATTTCCACCTTTTTACTTTGCTGAGCAGAGCTAATGTCTCATGTTTAAAAGAATGAAGCAGAAAGGAGCCATTGCCTCTTTTACATTCCAAAACCTATTCTTTCTCAAATATCCTTGGCTATTAGGAAGCAAATTTAGCTACTGATCTAATTTGTTTCAACTTATAAGTACTAATACCCAAGCAAACATATGGTTAAGAATATTTAATGAGAGTTTAGTTACTGATTTGTAAATGAAAAGTGCAAATGTGGCAGTTGCCATAGATCCTTGTAGTTCCTTGCTGGCACTGAGCCCAGCTAGACTTAAAAATATGCAACATATTGATGAGAGAAAAGGAGAAAAATTTTAATATTATGTGTAAAAACTTGCTGTGAAAATACAGTTCTGCATATGGGTTTTAATGTAAAACGTACAAGCAAGACAAAATAATTCTGAATGCATTTATGTATGCTTTGTGCTGATGGGATTAATGCAAATATTACAGTCACACCATAAATTCACAATGAAGTGAATGCCTACAGGCAATTCAGTTTTCTGTCCTTGGTAACTGTGAACAGAACTGTGTTCTGTTCTACATTTGTCAGCAAATGAAACAGTGAGGAATAATCCCTTCACTTGTACCCTCCTCTTCATGACATTCCTGCCTTGGAACCAGGAAGGCCCTTTGGTGAGAAAAGAGCCACAGAGAAGACACAGAATGTTCTTGTTTCTGGAAAATAGAGGGAAAGCAAGGAGAGTGAAAGGGCTGTTAATAAAAGCTGACACTCATAGAAGTTAAACCTGCTGCATTCATAATTTATGACAAACTCCATTACTCTCCCAATTATCATATCCATTTCTGTAAACTCTTGCCTCATTTTCTTTCCTAACTCTTGCCTGGGAAGTAACAGAAGCCCAGAGAACATTAAAGAGCTTCTTCTGAAAGAGGTCAATTGTCAGTTCCCACCACAAGGCAGGAAAGAATAACCCTTATAAATGATATTTGGGACTGGAGAGCCCTTTGAGTGACCTGCCCAGGGTGCCCCTGCCCATGGGAAGATTTTTGCCTGTGGTACAATGTGCCCCTCCCAAGATTGGCCTTGTGGGTGCTGTCCCTTGTACCAGCCCTGAGAGGAACATTCCAGCTCTGATTATTCCTTGGAGGGCAGCTGCAAACCTGGATCACACTTTATTCTCCTCTTTGCCAGGGAGCAGCCCAGTAGGAGCTGCTTTTCCCTGAGCAAGCACTGTCCCCTCAACCCCTGATGTCAGCTCATACCCTGCTCCTTGGACAGGTAGAACTCTGCTCTACCATGTATTCACAGGCTACCTCAAAGTAATTAAAAAAAAAACAAAACATGTATCAGAAAATGAAAGACAGAATTAAACATTTAAAGAAGCGAGGGCTACAAAGCACGGCACAGACAGCATTAGCACTTGGTGTGTCTTGCATGGTCACACAGTGTGCACTTTCCACCTTACAGTGGATAGAAAAGTCAGTTTTCCTACAGACTTTCATCACAAGAGACTTCATTCCCTTTTACAACATTCTATGAATGAGACTGATATTATTTCACACACATGGAAACTGAAGCAGACAGCACTGACAGCTGTTTTGGCAGATCCCACATCATAACCAGGAGTGGGACTCTGTCAGTGGAATTGGCATTTCAGTTTGTCATCTGGATTTTCACTTTCTTTCATGTTTTAAGCCACAGCCAGCACTCAGCAGCCCTGCAAGGCACAGCCAGCCAAACACAGCCACCTGCAAAGGCCCTGCTTTGTGCCTTGTCCAGAGACAGTCAGGAGTTCTGTGGGATCAGAGGGGATAAAATCCAGCTTTGCAGAGCAGCCTTTAGTTCCTCCGATTCCCTGAGCAGTTTGCAAGGGCCCCTCTCAGTCACCACACACTGTCCAGGACAGCACAAGCTGGGGCAGAAACCCCTCAGGATGGATTCCAGCCAACACTTCCAGAGCCTGGAGCTGCAGATGGAAGGGATCACTCTGAGAGCAGTTCCAGAGCAGTTACCATCACACCCTGGCAGTAATCTGTCTGTGAAACTGGAGTTTACATTTTGGTCACCTGTGGTTGTGGTTGGATTTACAAATTTACACAAAAACACAAGCTGCAGATAACAATGTTCCTCTTGTACCTATTTCATGTCCCCACTTTAGACTAGAAGCATACCTTAGCACCTCAAATTAAACATCAAGAAGCTTTAAAGGAGAGAAAAAGAAAGAATTCTTTCAACTTATCATTCCCACAAATTTCAACCACTTCAGATGATTTTTTTTCCATTTTCCCTAATCTCCAAATCTATAATAGATTAAAAAACAAAACAACACACTAGGCACACAAAATACTAGCATTCACCTTGAGCCCAAGTTACTAAATTGGCAAAGCTATAAGCACTTGAATTTATGAATTTTTCAATAGAAAACTTCAGAAAACCTCAGCTGGACACACTCCTGTTTATATTTTGTATGTTGAGGGCATAACCGCAAGGAATTAATGCAATGCCATAGAGAACATAAAGACATCACACTGAAATATAAAATTGAAGAGTAGAGAAGAACCAACAATACAGTATTTTAAAAAATATTAAATTTTAAAAGAAGCATATTATTTCAAGAACATTTTCTGTGAGTGACCTGAGACTGAATCCTGTTCCAAGCAACCCCTTACACACACCCCTGTCCCTGGAGGACAGCAGGGCTGCCACAGGGGTGTCTGTGGGCCCCCTTCGTGCCACAGGGGTATCTGTGGGCTCCATTCATCCCTGGCATCCCTGCCCAGACACAGAGGGAGTGATGGGCACAAATCCTCAGCCACACACAGCCACAGCTCAGAGCCCTGCAGAGCTGCTGGTGGGAAAAGCCCCCAGGTGAAATAGAATCTTCCACTGTCTCTGCTGTGACTGGAAAGAATTATAAAGCAATTCAGGTTTTTATGTGTTTATAGGTATTTAGAACAATGTTTATATACTCTAATTAAGTTTCTATAGTCCCTTCCAGTTCCTTCCATAGGATTTCTTGTCATCCCTGAATGGTTACAGTGCCATTATTAAAGCTGATTACACACCAAACAAAGCATCTGAGCCTAGTTATAAACCCTTTACAAGGAGCCATGATCTAATACAGGATCTACGTGGCTCATTAAGAATCTGAGGAATTACCCTGAAGAAATGTGCCTCTTTTATAGAATATTATTTGTGTAAAAAGCACTTTTATTGAGTTCTTAAATTACACTGCAGTATAAACTGCCAATCAAAACTGCCTATAAAGAACAAACCAATGAATCTGGTGAACAGGCACAAATGAGGAAGACAAGGGCTGAGAAATCAAATTAGTTACCACCATGCAACAGCATCTCAGGCAAAAGACACATTTCCTACAGGCAATAACATTTATTACATCTATCAGTTCAAGTCTATTGCTACCCCAGCATCAACGAGTTCATTCAAAGTTGAAAGAACTTTAGAGGATACTTTTATGAGCATGACTTTGCCCAAGCAAAATGGGAAATGAAGTTCAATGTGAAATGAAGTCAGAACCCACCTTCCTTCTCATCATGGGTATCACAGTTGAGACGGCCACCATAGACAGAGTAACACCACAAAATGTGGAGTTACAGAGGACTTCAGGCATCTGCCCATACAGAGGAACATCCCACCACTTCAGGAGGCTGCAAAGGTCAGCTGCTCCTTCAGCCCAGCCTTTTATACCCCTGATGTTGATGCATTGCACCTGTGTGGCCTCTGCTCCCTGCCCTGGTTGGGCAGTGCCCCTGGCTCGTTACCTTCAATGCTGCTCACCTGCTGCTCACAGCTGTGCCCATTGGGGATAATGAGGATGGGTCACAGCCAATTACCCAATAATCAAACTCCCAATTACCACAAGCTGTGCCCCTACACATGGGAGCCTGGTGTCTTAGACTGGGCAGGGCAACTGATGCAGCTGAGCTGCTCATTTTGTCCAAGGAGAAATGACTTTTGACAAAACGGAATTTTGCATTTGTCTGCCTCTTGCTTCTAGAAAATGAATCAACCTCAAAAGCCAAGCAGCCAAGTACCACAGGCACACACAGGGTCTCAGATCATTCACTCCTGGTGAATTCCTGCTCCTTCCTGCTCTGGGCAGGTCAGCCCCCCTCACACAACCTAACCCACTCCACCACATCCAACCTCATTCTGCCAACTCCCATACTGGCAGCTGGAGCTCCCTTTTCTGGCAGCAGTGACACTTGTCACCTGGGCATTCCCTTCCTCTCCCAGCAGGTCTCTCAGTGCCACCTGTGACCTCCAGGCTCCCTGAGCTGATCAGTCCTGCCTGTTTAAGGCAGCAGAGTGACCCAGAGCTTTCATCAGAGCTGTGATCCAGCACTGCAGAGTGCTGCAGGGTGGCCAACAGGAGCAGCAGAGGGCTTCAAACCTTCAGCTGCTGCACTGATAGCCTTGGGTTTTGTCACAGGGGTTTAGGTTGGGTGTTAGAGTGAGGTTTTTCACCCAGAGGCTGGTTGGGCACTGGAACAGGGCAGTGGTTACAGCAGCAGCCTGACAGAGCTCAAGAAGAGTTTGGACAGCACCCTCAGGGACATGCTGGGACCCCTGGGGCTGTCCTGAGCAGGGTCAGGAACTGGACTTTGATGATCCTTGTGGGTCCCTTCCAACTCAGAATATTCTAGATCCTTCCTTCATTACCATTGCCAACCAGAAATCCTGGTGCTTCATTTAACAGACAATACTTTTAACAGCAACCAATATTGACATGCCGTAGTTGACATTTCTACTGCTGATATAAAAAAAATCCTTTATGTGTTTAGCATATTAATGTAAAGGCATAACATTTTCAAATAATCCTAAACTATCTTGACATAAGCAACTAATTAAGAGTAAACCCAAAATCATCATAAACCATTTAACAACCTTTCAGCAATGTACTAGGCACCCTCAGGCTTACAGTTTATCTGAAAGTGTCAATCCAATATTGTTTAAAAACCCTCAAATATATCAATGATTGTGCAGTGAAATAGCAAATGGCAGGAAATCAGAGAGCATCAGCACTTCAGAGCAGCACCCTGAGGGCTGCCTGGCTCACTGGGGCCTCCAGCCCAGGGCTTGTCAGCCCAAATCTGACCCAGGCTGGCCATGAGCAAAGTCACTCCTGCATTCCCACTGGAACCCATCTGCCCATCCCACACTAAAGGAAAAGAACCCAAAGAACAGCTGACAAGGAAGAAATTGAGATTCTCTTTTGTCATTGGAGTGTAGGTCCAGTGACAGCTGTGTACAAGTCTTTAGCCATCATTAACAGCAATATGAATTTTTATTTAAAACAAAAACAAGTCACTTCTTATAGAAATAGCCTCTAAGTTCTATGTAACTGAAAGAAAAAAAACCCAAACCAAAAGCAACAGACAATCCAAACCTGCACCTACAACATATGTGGGATTTTTAATTAAGACAAAAGTACTTTGACTGAATGCATTATAACCAGGTACTGGATCTTTGGGCCATGAAAAGATGTCTTAAAGAAAAAGTAGATATCCCTGTATTTGAATCTTTGCCCACAACCCACACCTGTTCCCATGGAGTATGAACTAGCTTGGCTGTTGCAAACCAGATTTTCTTTTCAAGACCAAATTTTTAAGCATGTGTGAAATACTTATGACGTGGTTTGTTAATGAACACCATGAAATCAGTTAACTCTGTCTTGTGTTAGAACTAATTGACTTCATTATTACATCTATCACTTTCTGTGAAGGACATTATTTGAAAGTTTAAACAGAAAGCTGCTCTTTTGCCTAGATAATGTATTGGACAGCAACTGTCAATTTTGAAGACCCCCATACTGGAAATTTTGGAGAATTCTTGCTTATATTTTACATTGTACAGAAAAACGTTGCCTGGAGCTCCAAAGGCTACACAGCACAGAATTCATGCACTCAGTGTTTCTCCTTCAGATTCCTGAACAAATGTGGCATTAGCTATCCAAGAGATCTGCTTGGGTAGGTATATTTTTTTAGAAAAGATAGGTTAAAAATGTTGCTGTTCAGGGGCAGCTGCACTGTACAGAATGTCATCTCAGTGATGGATTTAAAAATGATGTGTGACTGCAAACTTGAGAAGCCTATAAACAGCCCTCCTCAAGCACTTCTAGCAAACCTTCCCCTTTTTTGGAACACTGCACGCTAAAGAAGAAAATAAGGTCATGACCAGAGATGTCAAATTAAGTGCCTTCCTTATCTGAAGCTGTTCTTCACTGCTGCTGGCCTCCAAGAGTCAATTCACAGCTCTCTCCTGTAAAGCCACCTCTCTTCACTTGACTCGAGCAGAAATGAAACAGAAGCACCACACAGCAGAAATGGCTGGGGACAACCTCTGCAGTCACATAAACAGATTAAATACATTTTAACAATACCCTACAATACTGCTCTGCCCGTGCCCAAGCTTTACCTCTTCTCACCATTCTCTTGTCTTCATTTCAACCTTCTGTCACAGTCTGTGACTGTTTCTGGGTTAGGGCTCACTCTGGCCTTGAATAAAGAACAATATTGTCTGCTGAAACCTGAAATTGGTTGATAAGTTCTGTCCATATCCCCAAGTTTTTTATTATCTTCATTACACCTTTCACACCAATCGTTGAGCAGGAATGTGTTCCCACTGGCACTGACAGCAGCCAGGGGCCAGCTCCCGGTTGAGGCTCCCTATTTTCAGATTAGGGCACAGCAGCAAGGAAAAACCTGACACATGTCCCTAAAACATCTATTTCTTGCACTCACAAACATGCTCAGGATTGTGTGGAGAAGGGCCTTGGTTTTATTATGCTTTTTTATAATTCTCTAAATCTGCAGTGGGATCAAATTATTTCCTAGGACCTGTCAAAACACTGAAGATCCAAAAGAGGATGTAGGAAATGTTCCATGTTCTTCTGAAGTTACTGTTTCCTCTCTGTCAAATCTCCTCATAAGAGGAGGTAGGAGAATTGCCCATGAGCTCAGGGCATGTTCCAGTGGGAGACAAAGGCATTCCCTGCAGGAGCTGTGAGTGAGAGGGGCAGAACAAACAAAGCCTTCTCCTGGGTTTCACAGAAGCTACTGACATCAGGGGTTTATTATCAATTCTCTTTTCCTAAAAATAGCCCAGTGTATAATAACAGGTACTACAGCTAACAATAAATAAACACATTTTACAGACTGTGCTTTATTACTGAGAGATTACTCACTTTTCTAGATTTCAAATTTAATGTTTTCCAGAGGACTTAGAGCAGAGAGATCCATCCAATTTTCACTAGACAAGCTAACCAGTTTTCTTTTGGAAAGAATAATTTTCATCAGACTAGGTTAGCACAAAGGTAAAGGTGCTATTGTTTATGTCTAGAGTGTCAGGTCCTGCAATGAGGTTCAGATTCTTAACTGAGCATTCATAAAAAATCCACAGCTCACACCTATGGAGTAACTCATGCATGTTTCCATAGATACAGCTATATTCAACCATGGCATATATACTGTATGTAACATATATATAGTGTGATTGCCCCTCATATGTAGACAATCTTCTACTAAACACAGAAACTTAGGTCAGCTTTGCTTCTTACCCAACTTCAATCATGATAAAAATTGCAATTAGAATTATCACTTTCTCCTTTCAGAAGTTACCATTTTTAAAGAATAGCTTACATTAAAGAATAACTATTCCTCTGGGGTGTTCAATATGCACCAGAAAGGGAAGAATCCAGTCTCCTGAAAAAGATAATTTTGTCTGTTTCTAGTCATCCTTACAGGTCCAAAGTACTGCCTGGAATATTAGATGTGTACCTACAGTTCATTTCTGGACTTAGTGAGATGAACTCAGGTACCTTTTTATCCAGTTACCATACAATCACCAGCTAAGTAAGGTGGACTTGCACTACTTTTAATAAAATCAGTTCAATATTTAACATTACACTCCATGAAGCTGAAGCCTAAAGCTGAAGAGAACAAACTGGCCTCCATTGTGTTCTTTGTTTTAAAAATTCAGAATTTGTTGCCATCCAACTCTACTGCAAGCAAAGTTTTCAAGCAGCATATGAACAATAACATTTTCAAGAGAAACCTTACTTCCATGACACAAATACTTATCTCACACTTCTGTAAAGATTCAGCATCTGAGAAACCTCTACAAATTTCCTCTGGTTTACTTATAAGGAATGGAAATGATAATCAGATCCACAAGTTATTTCTACTGCTACTACTCATAACTAAAGAACTTTTCAGTAGTTTCAATAACACTTAGCACTGGGGAGAAAGCACCTAACTCTTACAGAGAAAACACTCTGTATGTGCACCAGAGGCCAATCCCTTCAGTGCCCCTGCCAGCCATCATCTCTGTTTGAGGAAACCCTCCTGAGTCTGTAAGCCAACCTCCACAGGAATCCTGAAGAAAAAGTTGATGCTGCTCCACATTTGTGACTATAAACTTTTGTCACAGCACATTCAAATGGTAATAATTTTGGAAGGCATTTTAAAGGTCTGGGATTCAGAGTTTTACCAGCAGAGAGTTCAAATCCCAAGGAAAGTATCAATTTCCAGAACAAGCTGCTCATGGAAAACTCTCCTGATGTACTTATCCTTCAACTGCTCTAATAAATGAGTCTCATGGCAGAGAATCTTTACTAAAACCAGAGATATTTACTGTCAGTATTACAATTTTATAAAGCAATTATCAAAATGAGACAGATTAAAGGAACAGTTGTTCTA